AAGGTGCCACTTAAAAGGCTTGTAAAAACAATTATCTCTATAAGTGTAGGGGATAAGTTAGCAAATTGGATAGAAGAGTGGCTGGATGGAAGAATGCAGAGGGTTGTTACAAATGGAGTTCAATCAAACTGGATTAATTCTTACAAGTGGGGTATCTCAGAGCTCAGCCTTAAGACCTTTGCTATTTTTGATTTACATCAATGACATAGATGAAGGAATGGTCAATAAATTACTTGAATTTGCAGATGATATTAAGGTCTTGGGTGTTGCTAGCTGTGAAGAGGATGCTGCTGATTTACAAAAGGATTTAGATTATCTAGTGAGTTGGGCAAATAAATGGCAAATGGGTTTTAATTATAATAAGTGGAAGATAATACATGTGTGTTATCATAATTTGAATTATAAGTATAATTTTGATGGGAATAACCTTAACAGTGTCATGAAAGAAAATGATCTTTGTGTAATGGTTGATAAGTCTCTTAAGCCATCCAAGCAGTTTGCTGTTGCTAGTGGTAGGGCAAATAGGATTTTAGGTTGTATCTACAGAAGTATTGAATATAAGTCTAAAGAGGTTATAATTTCATTGTATAGGTCACTGGTTAGGCTACATTTGGAGTATTGTGGTTAAGTTGGGTTCCTTACCTTAGGAAAGACATTGAATTGTTGGAAAGGGTTCAGAGGAGGGTTACTAGAATGGTGCCTGGGATGGAGGGGTTGTGATACGAGAAGATGTTAAGATCTCTCAAATTGTTTTCTCTTGCAAAAAAAATAGTTAGGGTGAATCTGATTGAGGTGTTTAAGATTGTAAAGGAAATTAATAGTGTTAATGTATCATCTTTTTTTCATACTTAACAGTGAGAATAGTGGGGCTAGGGGACACAAAAATAAAGTTTGGCAAGGTAGGAGTCATCTTTAGCTGAGATAGTTTTATTTTTCTGACAGTGGTTGGCCTTTGGAATGGGTTACCTTTGTATCTTGTGGAGGCAGTAAACCTAAGTGAGCTTAATAACTATATGAATGATAAGGACTGACTTTAAGATATATTTAAATTTATTTAATTAATAGTTCTAGTTTAGTTTAGAGAATGGGACAGCCAAGATGGATCAATAGTTCCATTGTTGTCCCAAAACATTATGATATATTATTTAGGCCATCCTTTCCACTAAGCTAAACTTAAAAAAAAACTCAAAGCTAGCCATTATCATTCAAATATTTATCTAATCTTCCCTTAAGTTTATTGTTTCTACAACATTTAAGGTAACTCCATTCAAAGGCCAACTATAAATGTCAAAAAATTAAAACTTCTTAGCTGAAGATTACTCCTACTCTGCCAAAATTTGTATCTTGTAGTCCTGTCTGTCATTCTCTCCATTAAGAGTATAAATGTCATTGTGGAGAAGATAAGTATTATTTTGGTATTATTAAAGAGTCCTTATTGTAGTGTATTTTAGTTAAATGGGTTAGAACTGGACACTTTTATATATATTACTATTATTATTTCAGGTATACATACAGAAAAGCATAGTTAAGACATTAGGCTTAATATTAGATTGTTAAGCCTAACTTACTGTTGTTTTGAGGGAGTGGTATTTAAACAACAGGAGCTATTTTATTTGCATTGATAAGGAAGTTACAGGATTAATTATTTTAAATACAGGATAGCAAAAAGAACAATTGATCATCTTATGATGATCAATTTTTTACTGACCTTTACATAAATTTGAATGTCAGATACACGTACATAAAATATATTTAATATATATATATATATACATTAACATATTATGGTGCTTCTGTACAGTTACTATCATCATCACTGTTTTAACTTTTGTTTATTTGCAATTGTTGCTAGTTATTATAAATAATGCTTTTAAACTAACAACGTACAAAATACCATGACATAACGTTATGGAGGCAAATATAATCGGAATGAAATAAGTTCCAACAATCAAAACTAGCAAAATTATAACCTAAATTTAAGTTACTATTTTGGAACAAACAACTTATTAAATTATTATTATTTGCTGAACAAAAGCATGGATAGATATAAATTATTTAGCATGAAATTATGATAGTATCTGTGTAGACTGCATGCTATGGTATAAATATATGCGTAGACTGCATGCTATAGTAGCACCCACGTTATTACTTCTAAAGATTTGAGAAGTAAGATCCCAAAAACTTTTCTAAATTGTGAAAAAAAATTAAACAATTTTTGTAAACCAGAGGTAACAATCTATTGTTACATTTATACTTGCATTTTGTTAATTACTACAACTAGTTTATAGGGTGCTACTATACAAGTTATTAAATAATAGATTGAAATAAAGGGTGATCAGGTGTTAGATAGATGTGAAGGATAATTCATTATTTCAAGAATTGAAATTAGTGTTTCTATTGTTATTTGGTGGTTGCTCTGAATTTTACACATCAATAAATAATTTAAAATAACTATTAGTTATGTGTAACTATAGAGGTACTATGTATCATAGCTGTGGAACTAATAACTAATTGTACCAGCATTAGTTATTAGGAAATTTTAGTGTTAGATTTGTTTAGAATTTAATCTATAAATAGTAAGACAGCTTAATTTTAGTTAAATGTACAATTGTTGGGTGAGTAGATTGGTAATAAGCTAGTAAATCTTCAGTATGGTTAGAATTAGTTTGGGGATAAGCTGGATGGAATTTATAAAGTGAGATATAGATGCCAAGGTTGGGTTATGTTTGATAATTATGGTCTTCATTGCAACTTTTAGGAACTCAAATTCGATGACGAGGAACCCACTTTGAGACTAATAATGGTTGGAGACGGCTTGAATGGATAATGA